CTACTATTTGTTGGTAAATAAGTTGGCGGTGGGTGGTGACGACTGGCCGCCTTCTTCTAGTCTTACACTGCTAAATTAGGGACGGCTAGCGCAGATAGCTCTCGTGTAGTTTTCCGCCAAATTCAAAACAAACAGAACCAATCCTTGCGCCTTTTCCACCGCGAGGAATCGAACCCAGATTTTAGTGTTGTAAATCCGTAAACTTACCACCAACCTATCGGAAAACTTTTGCTTGTGTTGTAATCACTCCAATTTATTGTCAGAAGAAGCAACTTCATCTTTTACAACATCACGATTCGTGTATAAGATATTTGTTTTGCCACACACCTCTCATATAATATGATAACGTGTTGTGATCCCTATGTATGGCAAAAGTGGTACTTCAGTTAGAAGTTGAATGTATAACTTGTTTGATAATATTCTCCCTTCTTGACGCTTATATTAAAATGTACGTGTCTTAGTTCAGCACCTTAGTGAAGTTTGGATATTGCAGTGACTTGCACAACGCCTATTTCAGGTCAGCACGTAATGACAAATTAAATCTATATCGACTTGCACAACGCCTATTTCAGGTCAGCACGTAATGGCAAATTAAATCTATATCGACTTGCACAACGCCTATTTCAGGTCAGCACGTAATGGCAAATTAAATCTATATCGACTTGCACAACGCCTATTTCAGGTCAGCACGTAATGGCCAATTAAATCTATATCGACTTCCACAACTCCTGTTTCAGCTCCGAATTTCTTGGAAGGCTCTTCTGAAGTCACAAGCTAGACTTGTTTCGAGTCCCATTTGTGGTTGGGGTGTGAGTTCATTCTTGAGAAAAGGGTGAAAATTGAGTGAATAACAAAAATGTGTAAGACGTGGATAATATGAAGTATATGGATGACGCTTATATTGGAATATGAGTGTTTTAGAATGCTAGACTTTGGAGCTGCTTTTGTTCTACTCCAGTACTTCACATGTTCTACTCCAGTACTTACACATGTTCTACGCCACTACTTCACATATTCTACGCCACTACTTCACATGTTCTACTCCAGTACTTCACATGTTCTACTCCAGTACTTCACATGTTCTACTCCAATACTTCACATATTCTACTCCAGA